ATCAATTTCACAGTTCTACGAATATTCGAGATGGTGATTCGTTCGAACGCAACTGGGTCGATTTTCTGGACTTCATTTTTGAACTTAATACTCTGTTCGGCAAGTCGGTACAGCGATGGCAGAACCCTGTAGGGCCAACGGACTTGGATAGAACTAATAGGTCGCATCGTGGAAGCGCAAAGGTGAGTGGAACTCGGGACGGCGCACGGTGGATCGAGTCAATAGGAGAGGTCGGACGAAATTCGGAAATTTTAAACGCTTATAACTCGGTTTATACAAAATTTTGAGGTTCCAAAAGTGTAGCCATTGGTTTCCTCCTGAAATTTTCTTTTAAAAGCACCCACAAAATTTAAAATGTGACGGAATGAACATCCAAATTCGCAATTTTAGTCGAATATATCATGTCCGACCATGTCAGGGAAATTTAAAAAGTCAGGGAAAACCTAGAAATGTCAGGGAAAATAACAAAAATGTCAGGAAAAGGCACCTTTCTTGAATGGGTTTGACGTTTCGAACACCAAATTTTACCTAATCACTATTTCAAATTATGTATTTTTAAGCATCTGGCATATCTTAAATTGTCGGGGAATTTTCCCAAAACGTGACAGAGAAATCAGGGAATTGTCAGGAAATTGTATTTGCTAAACGCTGTGGCAATCGTGACAACGGAGATGGTGAGGAATTTGCGATTTGACTATTGATTCTTATGTAAAAGTTTGCGAGAAACACGATGGTGCCACTGGTTTTCTCTGAAATCAACTCCCAAGCTCAAAAAAAGCTCTCAAGTTAAGGCCAAAATGGAGGGGATATCCCACGCTATCCTGAGGGTCCACGTCTACATCAAAAGGAACTCTCCATGCGAACATAGGGAGCAAATACATTAGCAGTGATGCCGTGTTTTCAGTTTTAGAGCCCCCAAATAAAGTGGCAGCCCTGTCAATGTATTTGCTCCCTCTTTTCATGGAGAGTTTGTCTTGATGTAGAGGTGGACTCTCAGGAGAGCGTGGGATATCCCCTCCATTTTGGCCTCAACTTGAGAGCTTTTTTTGAGCTTGGGAGTTGATTTCAGGGAAAACCAGTGGCACTATCGTGCTTCTCGCGAACTTTTACGTAAGAATCCATGCGAACATAGGGAGCAAATATATTAGCAGGGTTGCCGTGTTTTCAGTTTTAGAGAGTCCCCAAATTAAGTGGCAGCCCTGTCAACGTATTTGCTCCCTATGTTCGCGTGGAGAGTTTGTCTTGATGTAGAGGTGGACTCTCAGGAGAGCGTGGGATATCCCCTCCATTTCGGCCTCAACTTGAGAGCTTTTTTTGAGCTTGGGAGTTGATTTCTGTTTGTTGAACTTGTACATAAGAATCAACAGTCAAATCGCAAATTCCTCACACATGCAACATCTCCATTGAATAGCTGGTTCTGTTTGTCTATATCTACAGGTTCTGCCCTCGTCCCACGATCAAATGAACTCATCAAATGCAAGATGGCGGATTCATTAACATTTGAAAGCCCGCTAACATTTGATAGCGGACTTGGGCGAAAACCAGTCGCCATCTTGCATTTGATGAGTATTTGATGGGTTCATTTGATCGTGGGACGAGGGCTTTTCTTGATTTTTGTCTGCACCGCTCATGGAAGTTGCGCACTGTGCGACGGCGCGGCGGCGGCGGGACGGAATGAATAAAACAGAGGATAAATGTTCGTTTAATGCGTGCGCGCTGCCCGGGGAAAAATGTAAACGAAAGTAACGCGCCGCGCCTCGCCCGCGTCTAGCACACATATCATCCGAAAAACACGCGCGGTTAAAACCGAGATACACATTACATTTTTCCCGGCACGAAATTCACACCGGTGAGAAATAGCGGGCGTCAGCCTCCCCTCCGTTCCTCCGAGTGGAGATCTTCATCCATGTTAGGCCCTCCATCAGCCACCGAGCCCCGAGCCCGCACCGGGGAAATCACCTGCCAGCCGGGCAAATCTTCGTCGAGTTTAAGGGATGTCTGAGCCAGTCCCCCCGTTTTCCGGAAGTAGTGCCGAATTTCAGAACTTTTGAGATTTTCCTGAAAATTTCCCGGAACTTTTACAATTTTCCCTAAGTGTTCCGGATCTTTTGCGTTATCCGGAACTTTCTCGGAACTTGTAAAAAAATCTACAAATAATCCTGGAATTCTGGACGGTCATAATTAAGTGGGAGAAATTGAAACAAAGAAGTTTCGAGTGCCGGAACTTTTGACGGACCTAATGGGAGCACTTATCTGAGCCTGCCTTGCTTTACACGTTACGCTGCGTTACGGAGGTAGAGGATTCTTCCGGGCTACGTTGCGGAGGGAGAAAGGGCGTTTCCTACTAGAATAGAGAGGCCGTAACTATCGGTTTTATAACGTTAAACTAGTGGAGTAGTCGCCTTGTTAACCATTTAGAGTGGCTCTCGATCGGTCTAAGCTGCATTGAGCGATTCGGTTCAATTTTACTGTTAGTGGAGTGACAATTATCGGTATTTAGCTTTCATTTCCTCGATTATCGGACAATGACACTTATGGACTAGGGAGCCGTCCAGAAATGATGTGACGCTAAATTTGCGGTTTTTTTGACCCCCCCCCCCCCCCCCATCACACAACAACCACATATCTAAACCACTCGGCTTGCTTCTATTTCTCTTTGTCTACCGCTTTGTCTATCAATTTCAACGATCAACCCGCAGGGCTACGTTACGTCAAATTCACCTCTGAATGTTTCGATCAATAATTAATAACGAAATTAAATATCACACTTGGAAACACGGCAATCGATGTACGCGTTTTTCAACTTTTACTAGCGACAGGATTTTTGAACTTTGATTAGAGTAGGAAAAAAAAGAGAAACGCACTCAACCATGCTGCTTCTTCCCCCCATTCATTTGGCTTCAAACGCTCCGAGGTACAGCGCGAAGGCATAGTCGGCTTTTAAGTTAATGGTTTTTTTAAACACCGATGTTTGGTCTTTCAAATTGTCCGCATCGGTGTGTGCTTGGCAGAGAAAAAAAAAAACGCGTTCCTCTTTGGTTTCAATCGGCCAGCGTTGTGCGAAAGAAATCGCCGCACATTTTCGATGGAGTCTCGGAAATAGTGCACTCCTGCGATATGGAGGTTCCACGCCGGAATGTAAATTGGTTCCTTTGGGCCAACGCTGTCCAATTTGGGGTCAGCAAAGCGGAGAGAGAGAAGAGGATGAAAAACGAAAGAGATGAAAGCACCCAGTGCCGTGCATGCGTTCACCTCGCACGATCCACATGCTCAGGGCATGTTCCTTTGCTCGCGAGCTAGTTGACAGATGAAAGAAATATACCGAACCGAAAGTTTCTCAGACGTATTCCTCTTAATAAATTGCATCCGAGACTTTTCCTCTCGCGAAAACTGCGGTATTTCAAGTCCTTCTCAAATTTTGTCGAGTTTAGCCGCGGGAATCAAGGTTGCCAGGTAGAGCGATAAAATAGGGGTTTTTAATGAGTTTAAATTGGTAAAGTCCTGACTTTTTAGAACTATCTGGCAACGATGGCGGGAATTCCGACCGAGAGTCGTGATTCAATGCATTATTTTCGGATTTATTTTCTCTCGTCTATCTCGGGCAAGTTCCACTGGACTGAAAATACGGGGAACCCTCGCACGGTCCTCGGATTTGCATAAATCGGCCTGTCTTGCGTAAAATTCGGCCAAGAACATATCAGGGTTAATAGCCACTAGTTAGGTCGAAAATCCACCGTATCACCCGCCGCACAAAAAGCCCTTTGAAACCGCACCAGCGGATTAATGCAAAACTTCGAGAGCGTCCCTCTCTGTAACTAGTCGCTTAATCCTAGTCGGGCGGGATAGGTTCTTACGACTCCTATCATACACGTGAGATGAGGACGGATTAAGAATCGGACAAAAGAGAATGAGAGGAAGAAGACGAGGGAAAGAAAATTACAGGAGGAATCAGAGGAGGAAGAAAAATAAGAAGAATAAAAAGGGAACAGAATTAAAAGAGAATAAAGAAAACCGGGGGAGAAGAAAAATGAAGGAAGAGGAGGAAGAAAAAAGAGTACAAGAAAAGAGCAAAGATGAAAAATAGATGTGAAGGAAGGATAGGAATAATACGAAGAAATAAAGAGAAATGAAGGAACGGATGAAGAATAACAAGATGGGAAACGAGAAAAAGAGCAAAATAAGAAGAGTAAGGGAAAAGAGGGAAACTAATAATCAGAAGAAAAAGCAGTAAGAAAGGAGGAAGGAGAAAAGGAAAAAGAGGAGGGATAGTGAAACGAAAGAGGTCCAAGAAAAAACAGAATATTGACGAGAGGAAAGAGAAAATGAGGAATTTGGATGGGGAAAAAGAGGAAAAGTTAGGAGAAGAGAGGAGTAGGAAATGAGAATGTAGGAGAATTTTTTCTCTCTCTCTCGTTTTCTTATTGCTCGCCTTTTTTCAATCTCTCCCATTCCGCCTCTTCCTCTCCTTTTTCTTCTTCTATTTCTTCCTCTCTTTTAGGCCTATCAGAGTAAGGATGTAATATATGCCGAAGTATAGCTAAATACATGCGGGCAGCGTGTGGAGTTTTCCTTGAAACTATACTTATCCAACTTTGTTGAATGCAGTTGGAAGATCTCCATTCAAACGAAGTCATGACTCAGTGCATCTCGTCCGGATTTATTTCCTATCCCAGCACGACCTCTTTGAACTCTGCTAAAACCTCAGAGCCATTGGGAAGGGCATTCATTGGATTTATATTTGAAGACAGGAATGAACTTGAAAGCTTGAAAAAGCCAATAAAGTTTAGCAAGCATTATTGGATTAACGTGAAGCTTCGGAAGAACTCATTTCTGCTCTGGATAAGTTATGCCGGTCGCGTTTAGTGAGCAAAAAGGTAGCGAACGCGCGGCTATCTAATAGAAATCATCAGTTACTCATCACAATTGAGGTTCATATTGAGGTCTAAGGAAAAGTAATTTGATGATAATTTAATGATGTTTTTTTTCTTTCTCTGTTTCAGGCAATTACTAGCACCTAATCTGATGCAAAAGCACTTTTTGCCGAAAGGCGCAGAGCAAGTCTCTAAGCAGGTAAGAAAGAAACATTAATGAATGTTTTTTCACTGAAGTTCATCTGGGAAGTTTGTAACTTTAATACAAAACTTTAGAACTTTAAAGGTACCTACTTTAATCGGCCAATCGTGCTCTAATTGTATGCATTACGGCTAAATCCCGAATTGCAGACCAAACGCAATTTGTCCATCGTCCTTCAAGCGGTTCTTGAAATTGCTAAAAAGTCGGCTTTTTCCCAGGCAAATGTGCCAAGTACGCAATGACGATTTGGGCGTATGTGGAAACAAATGAGATCGAAAGAGAGGTAAATAAATTCGCCAAAATGAGGAAAATGGTTTCTTACCAGCGGCGCAGCTGTGTAAGTTATGGAAGGTGTATACGTTGCAGTGTTTTAGGATGACTTGTGGATTGGTAAGAGGTTTCAGTAAATCACATCGTTGAAAATTTTTATTTAATCGCAGAACTTGAACCACGTACCGCTGATTATCACATCTAGTGTAACTTTCATTTTAAAATTCAGGAGTCATCCTGAAATACTTTAGGTGTAAGCAATACTCTGTAATTTAAGGGTGGCCCCGAGGAAGAAAAATGTCACTAATTCCTTTATCAGTAACTAAAACTTCTAAAAGTTTAATAACTTTGATTTATTTTCGACTTGATTAGAAAAACATAGATCCTTAGAGTCGTTGAAACATCCTCAAAACACCGGAAAATAACACATTGGATCTAGAGTCCAGACTCTTAAAAACATCGACAAGAAACAATACTCTTGATTCAATCAAATTTAAGCTTAAATCAAGAACCGAGCCTCTTGATTTGAGCGGATTTCTTTTTGATATTAGCTTAAATCTGATCGAATCAAGAGTCCTTTTTCTTGTCAATTTTTTTAAGCGTCTGGACTCTAGATCCAATGTGTTTTTTTCCAGTGAATGATCTGAAAGTTACAGAGAATATGTTCGGATTCGCGAAAATAAATGCAGTTGATCAGTGCTGGTGAAGATTTTTTCTTTTTGAGATACGATTCAACAATTTCTTAGAAGAGATTCACTTAAAAAAGAGCCGAAGACTGCTTTCTTCGACAAGAATAAAACCGGAGATGCGAATAAAATTTAGAGAATGTAAAAATCAAAGCCAAGAACGTGAAGATAGGAAAATGCAGAAAATGCTCATGCTTATGTAGGGCCGTCTGTGTAATGGAGTGAAGCACTCCTTTTATCAGCACTCGGACGATAATATTTTTACGACTCCAGCTATTTTCTCTCCGAGAAAGTTTTATATTTTTTCTTGAATTATGCTCTCTAACTCAATGATCGCGGGTTAGATACATATCGACCCATAATCCTCTCTAAAATCCCCAGATGTATCTTTACGAATACACTTGGGTAGGGAGTTTTAAGAGCATCATACATTAGTGGTCTCACCAAATCATCGTAATAAAGAAGTGGATTCTAAAGGAATTGAAATGTTGATTGTCCAAGTGAATTTTATTTTTGAAATTCTTCGTTTCAGCATGCATGTCTTACCTAGAGTTCATTTTTACTAAGAGTAAAGACAATACGAATCCATTCCTGATTGGTTCCCGTACTTTAGGCCTTCACAGTGTCACGAACGGGAATAAAAATTATATTTTCACCAATCGCAAAGATTATAAACTGCAATGGGTCGGGGAATGGAGATGTTGCCTGTGTGAGGAATTTGCGATTTGACTGTTGATCCTCACGTAAAAGTTCAGGAGAAACACGATGGTGCCACTGGTTTTCTCTGAAATCAACTCTGAAATCAAGCTTAAAAAAAGCTCTCAAGTTGCGGCTAAAATGGAGGGGATATCCCACGCTATCCTGAGAGTCCACGTCTACATCAAGACAAACTCACCATGCAAAGATAGGGAGCAAATACATTGACAGGGCTGCCACTTTATTTGGGGACTCAAACATTGAAAACACGGCAACCCTGCTTATGTATTCGCTCCCTATCTTTGCATGGAGAGTTTGTCTTGATGGAGTCGTTGACTCTCAGGATAGCGTGGGATATTCCCTCCATTTTGGCCTTAACTTGAGAGCTTTTTTTGAGCTTGGGAGATGATTTCAGAGAAAACCAGTGGCACCATCGTGTTTCTCGCGAACTTTAACGTAAGAATCAATGGTCAAATCGCAAATCCCTCAAACATGCAACATCTCCATTGGGTGTACGGCAAGGAACTGAAATGAGATTGGGAACGGAGATAGGAATTCAAGAATGAGTTGATAAAAGTTTACAAAAAACGTCCGATTTTTGTGTTCTTCATTCCTGTTTGTTACACTGGAAAAAAAACTCATTGGATCTAGAGTCCTGACTCTTGAAAACATTGACAAGAAAAAATACTCTTGATTCAATCGGATTTTTGCTTGAATAAAAACGAAATCCGCTTATATTAAGAGGCTTGGTTCTTGATTTAAGCTAGATTCTGATTGAATCAAGAGTACTTTTTTCTTGTCAATGTTTCCAGGAGTCTGGACTCTAGATCCAATGTGTTCTTTTTTTCGAGTGTACATCCATAACCCACGTTGTCTCAACTCTCTCTAGAAACGGACTCTTTTCTTACCGATAGTATAATTGGTGTGTTTGTTTGGGCTGCAGGAAATCGAGCACTGCTATTACCATGGGACTGTGAAGGACTACCCAGGATCCAGCGCCGCTTTTCACACCTGCAACGGAGTCTCGGGAGTCATCCACGTCGGAAACGAGACTTTCGTCATCCACCCTTTTTACGGCGGCGATCTCTCGGTCAGTGTCCTTGTCCTCTTTATTTTTCCTTTCTCCCTCGAAGAATATTGTGTATCTTGTTCCTTTTATCAAATTTACTGATCTTTGGTGTGAGTGAATCATTTGAAAATGCATCAAACAGTCTTATTCCTCTATCGAAGAAATTATTCTGACGCTAAGATCTGCGAGTTTGGCGCGAAACTGGCGTTGCCATTTGTAGCCATAGCGAAGTCTGAGTGTTTAGACTGATTAGATTGTTTTATAAAAGAAATTCAAGCTTAGAGTACCTATATTGAAAGAGTATGACCACTGGGCCCCATGGAGAGGCTTAGGACACAAAAATGGCGGTGCTTTGTTTTGGTTTTTGTGGATTGGAGGGGGGTCATTGCCAACTTTTGACGGTTATCACCAACCGCACTTGCTGCCAACCTTACTACATCCAAGATAATTTTTCTCAAAAATTGCACACGATTAGCCTTAAAAATATGTAAAGAAGTCGCAATAGTGCATTTGGGTTAATTTCTTGTTACGATAAGCAAAGAAAACTACATTTTTAGTCATTTTGCATTACATTAATTTATGGCGTCCACCATTTTTGGGTCCTAAGGGCTCCATTCAGCCTAAGATGGCTGAGCCAATCAGAGGTGGTAACACCAGTGGCCA